TCATAATGATGATTACTGCAAAATTTTTTGTATTAAGCAGAACCTATTGGATACTGGTGATCTTGGAGCGGATTTTTGGATTCCCAGGAGATTGTTTTATTCAAGTTCATTCGGTTTGATTAGCTGTTTATTCTATCAGTTTTCCGTGGAAGTATTTTCTGGTCTAAAGTGACCCACCACCCTGAAAACTCCTCTCAAAAAATCCATCAGTCAGTTAAATAGTGAATTGATGAGAACCCTAACCGTAAGGAAGTGATAGGTTTTGAGCTATGGTCGATCAGTTTATTTGGTATTGTAAATGTTAAATGTGAATTCACAGACATAATTCTTGATCGGGTTCTTGCCCATAGGAACCTTTGATAGTTCATATTGTAAGTATGGTAACCATGTCGCTTCATTCCTTCAATTAATCAATCTCCAATAGCGTATAGAATGAATTCCATAAATGGTGTGCGTATATCTCAATCGGATGTGTCAATTTATGAGGTGAGAAGAGAAACGACTTCATCGAAATGGATCGGATGAATTCTATGCGGTTTTAAAAAATATACTCAACTGAGTCAGTGAATGATGGGTTGATTAAACGAACTTTCAATGAACTGTCTTTGTTGAACATTTTCAGTAATATGAGAATTGCACGGTATATTAACAACTGAAATAAGACGCAAATACTTTCATCTGATGGGAAAAGATTTTTTGAAAATTTCAGATCTAAAACGAAAGATTTATTCCAGCTTTACAGAGTTGTTTAAAAGAAAAACAATACTAGTCTGTAAATACCTCGAACATTCATATTTTGTAATATCACACAATCAGCTTTTCGGCACTGAACATTCACGAAATTTACTTGTATATATAAATGCAACGCTTGTATTAAGGTATGTTATGATGTATTTCTTTTCAACTGTATAAAGCAAATCATCGATCTTATTTGATCGAAATCAGATCAATCAGAAATTTCAATTCGATCCTTCGCATCATCCTTTGCGTGAAGGGTGGCTACCGCTCTTGTCAGAGAACGTATGGACTGAATTCGAGAATTTTTAGCGGTAACGTGGGAAGAACGTGGTTCCAGACTGCATGCATCTAGGTGAAAAATAAAAAATTTTATAGCATGCATATTGAAAAATTCTCAATTCTGAGTTACTCGGCGCTGATTTCGGTTGGAGGTTCATCAGGTACGACCGTTGTGGTGGTTTCTGCCGTTTGCATACGTTCATTTCGAGACAAATAATTTCGATTGCAAGCGAAACGTTTCATCGAACCGCAATTCAAGCATGTCCTCACTAGCTGTCGCTTTCGATTCAGTCTGAAAACAATCCAACGAGTACGACAATTGCTATGAACCCTCTTGCATGATCAAGCAGTTAAGGCTATGATAAGGTATGCATACGATATGCATCACAATCGCATGATATATTTATGAGTGAAGCAAGAAAGGAATAGTCTTCCATTTGAAAGAAAGAGATTTTTTTAAAATTTTCAATCCAAAGATGAAAGAAATGAGGAATACTCCAGTTTTCTTAAGGTTGTGCAGAAAAAACAAACAATAATGTTGTTTAAATAATACCTGAAAATGATTTCTGAAAATAAAGCGTTGTTTCAAGCGGATACAAATTCGATGCATTTCCAAGCAATACTCAATCAAGAAACAATTCAATGTCAACATTGCTTTCAATCAATCCAACCTTATCCTAACTGGCTGATTATTTTGCAGATTTGCGTTTGCCACAAAAACACATTGACATTTCTTGCACAGAGTTCGTCCAACTTCTTTGTCCACTTTAATATTCTCCATTAAGCAAATGTCCTTCATTTGTTTTATGAACAAACATCCCAGTTTACTCAATCCATCTGCACGATTCTCGCCTGAAAAGCCACTGACTCTTCACTTTCAATGGACAACCAGTTTGATTGCTTTGCAATGCTTGAAAGTTAGGATGCACTTTTAAGCTCGATATCTGACTCAAAATTAGACTTATGTATAATCTCAGCAACGATTTCACGAGCTCAATTTCTACTTATGAACTTGTAAATCTGACAAAATGCAGCATTGTTCATGAAATTTACTTGCAACGTCAAATATTTTAATAGCGATTTGTGTTTCAATTGAATAATGTTAATGTTCAAAGAGATATACTTTGTGAGAACATCAATTGTGCAGCGTGGTGTAGGAAGTTGATACGGCGATGAATTTCATTGGGTTTCAGCGATGAAGAAGATGCTCTTGGCAGATCGTTTGGTTTATTATTGCCTTTCGATTTTGTCATTCTGTTTTGCCAGGGTTTTCAGATCAGATGATTGCAGCAATGCGTACACATTCGATCACACAAATTTCTACTTCCCGAGAAATAATTTTAAAAATAAGAGGTTATTATGAAGTTATTGATGGTCGAGTTCAGAGACTGAGTTGGTTTAGTGACAAGCAACAAAAATCAGCTGATACTCAAACTTTACGCCGTCGGTGGTTGACGGTAAATACTTGTCAACGCTCAACTTTAGTCAGAACCATGACTTTTTACATAAAACATCAGCGTTGATTCCTTTTCGGATTCTCAGCACTTCAATGAAATGATACCAACAAAAGAGGCTCTATTATGACCCATTAAAGGTTTCGGTATTATAACTAAGGATTACGTTAATCGATATTGAATTCGAGGAAATAATGCATAATTCATTTCATATAGAATAAAATTCCACTTCGACAAAATTTTAGAAATTTTTTATTCATCGTGTCAATTTAAACATTGATAAACACTGAAATATGCCAAACTAAAGTTTTCAAATGAAACTGTTTGATCCATAAAAGTATCCATTTTCAACGCAAAGATTCTGCATATTATGAGCAAATAAACGAACGTTAAGTTAAGGTATACGCTTGTTGACCTTATTGGAAATGTAACTGCCTAGATTCAGATGGATTACAATCAGAAAAATAATTGAATCTCAATCAACCTTATTTAAGAAATAAGAACATTTCACATTTCAGTGTCAATAAATCATTTCGTGTCAATTCAATTTCACTGCATTCAAACGTTTAAAACAATAAAACAACAACGGAAACTAGTAAGAACATCCAAAAACTGCGCAAACCATCCAAAGTGTAATCGTCTATCTCAACCAATAATTGAACTGACTTATATAAGGTTCCCACCCAGCAGATTTACAAACTCAACCGTTGAAATTGAATGCTTGATCGTTTCGCTTAAAAAAATAT